TGTCTTTGGGAATTTCTTTATTCCATTGTATTTTTCATTGTTTCAAGGCTTTTTTTGTTTATTCATTGTTTTTGGTGATGTTTAATTTTCTTGACAGGATTTATGGCAATTAAAAAAACTTTTTATTACTTTGAGGGGTTGGGATGTTTACTAGGTGGATCTTGTACTCCTACTATTCCATCTTCCCAGAAGTCTTTCTAATCTCATTAATTTCCTAACTTCTTAGTCAGAGTACCAATACGAGGACAAAAGGGAATAAGAAATGCTTCTTTCCAGTTGTGCAGACCTTAGAATCAATGCTTATTACATTTCCCTCTGGTTTAACAAATTCTGGGAGTGGTCATTTTGGTGCAGCAATTGGATAGATATAGGAATGGACATGGGATTCATAGATTTAAAGCTAGAGGTCACTGCGTCCAACTTAATTTACAGATGAGGAAACTGAGGCCCAGAGATAATAAGTATCTTGCTAAAGCCAGGCAATAAATGACTGTCTGAGGCAATTCTTAACTCTTAAGTCATTCATTCTACCTATTTCACTAATTTTATGCTGTGCTGGTTTCTCTTTTTAAGGCTGGCAGCATCATTCTAGGACCCACATCAGAAAAGGTATCAAAGAAACACAGGGAGTAAGGAGTGGAGGGGAGAAGGAGCTTGCCCTCTGGTTGGTGGTCTATAGGTCTGCAGTCTTACAAGACTTTCTGATACTGCTATTTGAAGTGGATTGTAAAATAAGAGGCAGATGGAGATGGACAGCCAACAATACCCGCATAGGTTCTTATAAAACTTTTGGTTTTGAACAAAACAAACAAAATAGAAGCATTAGCATTTTCTTCAATTAAATATTAAAAGGAAATCTTCTATTCAAACAAAGGCACAGAATGCACTTACACTTTTAGCAGAAAGAGAAGCAGCAGGTTATATTTTTCAAATGCAAAAGGGTATCACTTGCTGTGATTAAACGGGCTCAGTAGAACTAATTGCTAATAGACCAGTAATACAGAGGGAGGTTTTCTACACGTTGAGTCATAGACTAGAAGTGCCTCTGCAATCCAGAGCAATAATCAGAAATCCTCATTCTTGCAGTTATGCTAGAGTAGAGAGAACAGACCTAAGTTCAGTCTTTACCCTCCCACTAACTAGGACATTGTTTAAGTTCTTTCCCATTCCTGGGCTTCAGTTTCCTCCTTTATACAATGTTGGTATAGCACAAGCTTTGGGCTCATTTTCCCAACCCACACTCAAGCTAGCAGGTCGAACCCCCAGATCTTAGCCACTACATCTTGCCTCAAGGCTGTAGGGATAACTCTGAAGGGTTGTCAGGTTGTTTCTTTTTTTTTTTTTCGGCCGAAGACAAGGTTTATTAGAACATCCGTCACATTGGGCAGACTCTTAAGGAGTCTGAACATTAGTAAGCTATTGGCTAGATTATAAGAATCTGACCAGTGGCTAGATTTTAAGAATCTGAGCATCTTAATGGAGACAAGATGGACCTTATATACAGAAAGACTGTGGGAGGGATCTAGGAGTGGATCTGAATGGGAGTGGCCAGTAAGCTGGGGTGAACAGGACTCTTGGGCAGTGGAGCCTAGCTAGGATTAAGTGTGGGGAAGGGCCAGGGGCCATAGGGAGGTAAGACAATGGAGGGGAGATTGGGTGTAGCCACAATGAAAGGCCAGTTGATGGGATTATAGCCTCAGGCTAATGCCAGAGATTTGGCCCTGTGGGAAAGTCCAGGGCTTTTCCTTTCTGGGACCCAGATACCAACCCCATCATTCCCCCCTCAAACAAATGGAACCCAAATTCTTTTGGAGTAAGGGGCGAAGGTCTTGGCTTCTGAAACTGCTTCCTGCTGGCAAGGGTAGAGCTGTCCCTGCCTCGAGGGGGTCCCAAGGAGGTTGACTGTAACTGAGCCCAGGCTGCATCCAGGGAACGATGAGGGGAACATTGGCTGGTACCTGCTGTTTGCTACCACCTCTAGGTGAATGGCCCATAGTCTGGAAGACACAAATCTGACAGAAAAAAACTGCAGGGCCAAGATATAAAGCAGGGACTAGATTTAGGGCCCAACTTTGAGAGGATAAAACATGCTTAGCTCTGTTTGGATTCAAACAATTCCATTTTTCAACCATGCAGTATCAAATCCACCTCATTGCCAGACTCAGGAATAGCCTGAATACTCAGGTAACATTCCCTTTCAAAGGAACATAATGGGAAAACTGAGCCAGGAGGATCCCATCTTAGACTGAGGCTAAAATTGTCCTCTCAGCTTTTCCCCATGCTGACTTCCCACCAGTATCATATTCTCTGAGTAGCTTGTATGGAATTTCTTTCAAGATGGTGGATTATTGATTATCAATGGATTATGATCCATCAGACAACTCAAAATAAAATCCTATGAGCTTTTACCTCCAACAGCAAGTTTCACTAATCATAGCTTAGGAACAACTTTTCCAGGATTTACATCTCAAATTTAAATTTGTCCTGGTATAAAAAGCCAATCATTAGAGATTTCTATACACTTGCAAATTCTCAGCAAGCCATAACCCAAACAAGTTTTTTGGCTAGTTTACACATTAAAGCAATAACCAACAATGCTAAATTATTTTAGTGGTAACTAAATTATGAAAAGTTGCTTGACATAACTGATACAGAAAGTTCAACAATTTGAAACTTGAAACAAACCCATTACCAATTAGGTGACTTCAGTTTTGTTAAAGTACTTCTAAATTACTTTATACAGAGAATCAACATTTCATCATTAACAGTTAAAACTACAAATTTAAAAGAGCAGTGCTTACCCAAGTTTGGAGGCTAGCTTCATTACCTTGAGCAGGATGTGCTGAACCTGGGTGATGCTTCCAGGCAAAGGTTGCCCTAGAGCCCAAGGCCATTGCCAGGGGGGCCTACACTGTAGCTGCTGCTGCTCTCCCCTCCTTCCTTTCCCAGGTTGGGGAGGGTGAAATCAAACATAAGGGGTAAAGGGTGAAACTCTCTTCTCCTAGGAGAGGGGTTAACAGCTACCCTCTTGACTCAAGGGAAGGGAGTGACCAGGCTGTACAAGTGTTTCAAAACTCCTTAATGATCAGTCACAAAACCTCCAGAATTTGCCAAGATATTTTTAGCTGTTCTAACTTTCCCTGTAACCTCCATGAAGGAGGATTCAGAGATGCAGAGGGAAGGGAGTAAGTAAGCCTCAGGGAACCAAAAAGCAACTGCAGTTTTCCCCAGTTCCCTAGCACTGAGGGAATTAACAGAATTGAGCATACACTTCCAGATAGGGTATTCGTCCTTGTCCTCTATGCTGTGGAAGGTGTACCTAGGTCCATGGCCTTGAACCAATCTAGTGGACCAGACAGCCCGAGAGCCTCAGGCTGAGTGAGAGACAGCCTCGTAACTGTTTGCCAGAAAAGCACCTCCAAGCCTTGATGCTTGGAGAGTGACCCTAACTGCAGAGCAAGAAAGGAGGGAGAGGAGGCTTACATACCTTCCATTCTTGGCTGGAGAAGAACTTGGGGTTAGGCAGTTGGCAGTTTCCCCATACAGGCCGCCAAAATGATGTGGTTTAGGGGTTCACAGGTGCTGGGACCCCAATATCACAACACGTGGGTCCTTCCCAAAGAATTCTACCCAAGCCTTCTTTCAGCCAGAGACAAGATTTATTAGAACATCTGTCATATTGGGCAGACTCTTAAGGAGTCTGAACATTAGCAAGCTATTGACTAGATTGTAAGAATCTGACCAGTGGCTAGATTTTAAGAATCTGAGCCCAGGTTGTTTCTTTAATATTGCTACTCATGCACCCCCATCTAATGTGTTCCCCCAATATCAATTGCTAGTTAATATCTCCCTAATCTCATTTAACCAATTAACATCAATTAGCTTTTAAAAAGGGATATTTGCTCAGAGGGTATAGCAAGAATTTGAGAGAAATTATTATTAAATAACCAATTATTGGGAAGATCCAGGGTTTTTTCCCTTGCTATGTCCCCATTCTTTACCAGGTCAAGCCATTATCTGAAGGACATTGCTGATAATGAGATTGGATTAACTTTCTACTCAATCTTGTTCAAACCCCATACAAGTTCAGAAGGCCTTTTGTGTTCTACTCAGGCTTAGGTAGGCATAGATCCTTTGTCTAGATTGCCCAAGGCTGGGGATGGTCTAGGAGCAAGAATGATCAAAGTCACATTCCCCCCCCCCCTTTTGAATTGGTCCACTTCTCTTAATATTCATTCTCTCATTATTTGTTAACCAATCAGAGTTGACTTCCACCCTCAGGAACATTCACTCTTCAAATGTGTTGAGTGAGTTCCATGAGGTGTCTTTGGCATATGAGAGTGCCACTGACCCCATTTATTGATTATCCACAACAAAATGATTAATTATCCAGAAATTATGTGTCTTGAACTTTTTCTACATAACAAATTAAAGCACAACAACATCCTAAACCAGGAACACACTTTACCACCTTGGTCCCTGGAAAGAATAGACTCAGATTTAAAGAGGTTGCTACGAAATGTTCTCCCCAAGCCAATTTCTAAGTGTGGCATAAGCAATGACAAATTTCTCACTTGCTGTCTTGGCTTTCAGGTCAATTCAAAGCTGCATTGAATTAAGCAGGTCAGGCCTCAAGGCCAGCACCTCACCAGACTCATCTCTTGCTGCTTTCCAACTGCTTATGAGGTTATAACGTACTCTTTAACATCTTTGATACTCATTCGATTGAGATCAGGAAAGAGTGAAAGAATAGGAGAGGAAGGATGAGGCGCCATGCAACCAAGGGAGCTCCTTTCCCTCTCCTCTCCCCGAAAAACCACAGTATTTTTTTCTTCCTCTTCATTCAAACGCCACCAAGGAAGAGAAAGAGAATTCATCTGCTTGAGCCTTTGTATACACACTCAATTCTGACTTAGCAGGCAAGTGAAAGGCTTTTCAGCTCAATGCAGTAAATTGACAAGAATTAGAACCTGCATGTGCCCTGAAGCAATGAGGGAAAGGGTACCTCCATCACACATTTCCAGAAGCAGTAGATGGACAACAGCAACATATGTCCACATGCTCTAAAGACTGGATCCACTATGTTCCATGTGGCAAGGTTTAATGAGTGAGAGCTAAATAATGATACTTCATATTTACATGGCAGTGTAAACTCTTTAGTATGAATGAGTTTTCTTTATAATTTTCTGAGATGAAGGCTTTGATAGGAAAGAGGGGTAAAAGATCAAAAATTCTAGGTACCCAGGCTTGGGAGACTAAGAACATGGAAGAACTTCACTGACTGTACAGTTTTTGTAAGGACAGGATGAAATAAAGACCTGCCTTTAATTTCTAGGGATACTTTATTGTTACAGATAGCATCTGAAAACTCCCAAGATCAAGTAGATTTATGGTTGTTAGAGAGCTTTGTCTATCTAGTATTCAGTAATGTAATGAAGAAGTTAAGTGAGGATGATCATTTTAAGGGGGATGCAGTGCTATCTTGGATGAATTCTGATATGTTTATTTTTAAGAGGCCATCTTTCTGAAACAAAGTGATTTGGGAATAACTCCTGACTAGCTTTTTTTTTTTTAATCTCCAAGGAAATGACCTTATCCAGATGAATTAGCTACATGTACAAAGAGCTACAGCCAGTACTGGAGAGATGGAAAACATTAAAGCAGCACATGTTTTTAGATTGCTGCTGGGATAGGGGCTAATTTTAAGAATCCTTTGGACTCATCTGTGTACATGGTGGAAATGGCAATGTTTTCATATTTCTCTTGAGGCGTCAAGCATCGGCAGTGGCGGATGAGCACCAACAGATCCTTCTGGAAATTCTTGTTGAGGAAGCCATAAAAAAGAGGGTTGACACACGTGGAGATCATAGCAACTAGGTGGCAGACCACGAATACCAGATTGTGGTGGCAGCTCATCAGGGCCTCATGATACCAATCAAAGATGACATTGAAGATGTTTAGGGGTAGCCAGCAGGCCCCGAAGCTCACCACAATGGAGATCAACACAGTGTTTATCCTCTTGCTTTCACTCCCCTTCATCCTTTCTACCTTCCCATTCCTCCGACGGAGACAGATCAGGATCCTCAGATAACAGATGAAGATGAAGCCTAAGGGGATGCAGTACTGGAGCATGAGCAAGGAGGTGGTGAAGAGGAGCTGGTTCACTTTGGAGGACCAGTCCTCCACGCAGGCCATCTGGTGGCTGTAGAGGTCACTGGGGAGGGAGAGGTTGAGAAAGGGTTCATCAGTGAGGTGGTAGGACAGGAGGAAGGGAACCGACAGCAAGAGTGAAAACAGCCAAATCAGCAAGATGCCCCAGTAGGCATGAGATATGTTAGGTTTCCAGCCACGGGGGTTCACAATTAGCTGATACCTTTCAACAGCAATTAAGACCAATGAAAATATGGAAACAGTGATGGAGACACTCTGTGCATAGGAAGTCAGTTTACACATAGTGTCTCCGAATATCCAGTGATCCATCAGTGTATAGATGACTGTAAAAGGGATACACATGATACACATCAGGATGTCGGACAGGGAGAGGTTGGCAATTAGGATGTTGGTGACATTTTTAGCTTCTCTCTGCTTTTTGATAATGATGATAATGATGAGTGAGAGGTTTCCAAAAAGGCCTACAACTATGACTATGATATAAGCAATGAGTAGGATAAATAAGGCTGGAGAAGGCAGCTGACAGGATTCAAAGTAAAAAAACATAGAGGAGTTGGTCGTTACTGCGGTTTGGTTAGGGGCCATGTGGTTTAGAGCAGTCTCAGAATAATCCATTCTATCAGGAAGGAAGAGTATTTTCCAAGGTACAATTTTAGGACTCTGCTTGTTTAGGATCTTGCTTAGATGTTTCCAGGATGTGTTCAGTAGTCTTCAGTCTTCCATGGTCCCATGATGAAAATGTGTGGACATAATGAACATCTTCGTAGAGCCCTGAAAGGGAAAAAAAATGCTAAGTGTTACTAAAGACTTAGAAAATTTACAGATTCTAATGGAGACCCTAGGAAATTATCTCATCTGTACATGTTCCTCTAGGAAGGGCTGGACCTAAGCTTTCAGATGAGGAAAATTTCTTCAATTCTCCCTAGAGATCATGAAGATATCTTTTTATGGAGGTTGACTTTACCCCTCACCCACCTCCAGTATAAGCTGCCTGGGTGTGATCTGAACTTTAGAAGTTCAGTATCTCAATCAAGCTATAAATCTTGTATAATCTCTCTCTCACTCTCTGTCTCTCTCTGTGTCTCTCCCTGCTCTCTCTCTGTCTCTGTCTGTCTGTCTGTCTTTCTCTGTCTCTCTCTGTCTCTCTCTTTCTCTCTCACTTTTGCTCCCTCTTGCTCTCTCTCTCGCTCTCTCTCTCTCTCTCCTCTCTATCCACTCTCCTCTTTGTCCACTTCCTGTACCCCCCAACCCCATACTCTCTATACTCTTGTTTCTTTTGGATCTAGACCTTCAATTTCATTGGTGAAGAGAGATCTCAGTGAGCAGATTTGGTCAATCAGTAAATCCATCTTACAGTGTTAGAAAATTGCTTGGGGCACTGAGAGGTTAAGTGACTTGGCCATGATGGGTACACATGATTTGAATCTAGGTTGTTCTGATGGGGAGGATCTCTCCCATGGTAACTGTTCTCCAGTCACTGCAATGTGTGAGGTAGAGGAAAACATACCAGAACAGGAGTCAGAACATCTAGCTCTAGACCCAAGTCCGTTATTTATAGCTCAAGTCTTTAAACAAGTCACTTCCTGTTTCTAAGCTCTACTTTCCCTACATGTGAGATGAGAGGGGTAGACTATACTATAAGGCCTTTCCAGCTCTAATATTTATTCCCTTATTCTAGGCTATGATTAAAGAATACCAAAATACTAGACTCACTCTTTGGATTAAAGCTTTACCTCCAGAGCCTTCTTCTAAAATGCAAATATATTTGGAGAGGGATAAGTATCAAGTCCCTACCACCCTTTAACATTTTTGTATAGATTAGATAATAGGGAGCAGGGAATTATGCAGGATGGGAAGTAGAACTGATAAATCATTGGTTAGGGAAGAAGTCTGATGCCTGGGAAGGACCAAGTGGGCTCCTATAGCAGGGAAGATGGGAGGTAGTGAAAGCATGGAGTACCTGAGGATAGTGGGTACAAGATGTGGAAAGGGAACTAGTTGGGAAAGGATGGTCCTGCACAAAGCCCAGTATCCTTCATTCATTATTAGCTAGCTTATCTCATCCCCCACATCTGAATCTCCTCAGTAATTACCAGCAGCCACATATGTGTGAGCTTCCATTTCAGGGATTTCATTCAGATTTTAAAGAGTCAACATGGAGATGTGAATAAAAAGCTGACCATGGAGTCAAGAAGATCCAGGTTCAGGTTCTGGCCCTGAAACATACTGGATGAATGACCCCTACATGTTGCTTCCCATCTCAGTGCTCCTGGCAACTATCTAATGCTATAATTTGAAGAACAGGTACTGGTCTGTATCATTGAGGAAGTTTCCTTACTGGGAGTAAGGTTAAAAAAATTAATTCAGATTTTATTCCAAGGTTTTTGTGTTATTTTGTTTGTTTTGTTTTTTGAGGATTGATTGTTTGGAATACATAATCATTTTTTCCTATATAAATTATTTCATGCATTATGGTTAGGATGCCAGGCCAGCCCATCAACAGCTGTTTAACACCTAATATGCAAACCCACACTACATTTGAGATTATAGGATCTCAGAGATGGAAAAGGCTTCAGGGACCATCTTTTCAAACCTAAACAGGAGCAGGATTACTGGCCATATTCTTCCTCAAAAGCAATCAGCCAGGTTACAACTTGGAGATTTCCAGCTAGGGGAAATTCCCCATTTTACTTTTGGACAGCACTAATCATTATGTGTTTCCTTAGTTAGAACCTAAATCTGAAAGGTGCATCTTCTACCCATTACTGCTAATTCTGTTCTCTTGACATTTACTCCCTATTTCACATGACAGAATTTCAAATTCTTAGACAGCTATCATATCTCCCATAAGTCTTTTATTTCCTAGACTAAGCATCCCTTTCCTCATAGGGCATGGTCCACAGGCCCCTCACTATTATGTCTTTCTCTGGATGGTCTCTAGCTTATCTTTTCTAAAATGCGGCTCTCAGAACTGAACATAATATTGCAGATATGGTCTGACCAAAGCAGAATACAGCAGAACTAGCTTTTCGTCTTTCTGGATACTATGCTGAAAAATAATAATAATAACAAACTGAGGATAGCATTCGTTTTTGTGGGATTGGACAGATGCCTTTTCACACAAACTATTATCTAGTTATACCTCCCCCATCTTATACTCATGCAGTGGATTTTTTGAACCCAAGAGAAAGATTTTACATTTATCCCAATTACATTTAATCTTAATAGATTTTTCATCATTCTAGCCTCTCAAGATGTTTTTCAGATCCTGATTTTGTCATCTGACCTAGCTAGCTAGCTAGCTAATCCTTTCAGTTTTCAAATATGAAGTGTATCATTTATACCTTCAACCAGATCACTGACAACATTTTGAATGGCATGGAGCTAAGAATCAGAAACATCAACCACTTGTGCATTCAGTCATTCATCCACCTATCAACTGGACCAGAGGTATCAAACGTACAACCCACAACATTCCCAAGTATAGCCTGAACCAGATTAAAATGCAATTGGGAAATATTAAATAAAATAAATAAAAGCCCAATAAAACCTAGATAATATTAATATTAATTAATTAATAGTATTTTTTCTAAGTCAGTATGTGACCTGCAGACATCCTTATGTACAGTTCAGAGGCCCCCTTTTCTATTTCATTTTGACATGTCTTAAACCCAATTCACTGTGGCCAACAATAGGTGCCTGCCCAAGCACCACTAAGGTTATTTTTGGGCCCAGATGGCTCAGAGTGAATGTAAATAGTAATTGTTTCTCTTTCAGTCAGCAACCCTGAGGGTTTTCCCCTCACAGTTTGATTTTTTAAATTTTAATTTTTTTTTACTAAAAGGGTCACCTTTTGACTCACTTCTTAAACAGGCCTGTTCACTGAATGGGTGTTGCCTCACTCAAAGCGAGAACTCAGAAAGACCTTAGCTTCAAAAGGCCAAGGTCTCCCACTGCATCCTAGGCCATCTCCAGTAGTCCTGATCTATATCTGGCAACTGGACCCAGAAGACTCTGGAGGACAAAGTGAGGCTGGTGACTTTGTGCAGCCCTCCCTTACTCAAATCTAATTCAATTGCAAGTCATGACATCATCTTCCTGATGTCACGGTCCTCTTTGAGAACAAAGGACAGACCACTACACCACTGCTGTAGAGAGCAACCCAGTCAAAGAAAGAAATAAAGTTAGCCAATCAATCAACATGTGTTTATTAAGGGCGTACTCTCTGCCAGGTTCAGTGCTGGGACATAGGAATACAAAAACAAAAGCAAGACAGTCCCTGATCTCATGGAGTTAACATTCTATAGACATGGTACAACATATACACAAATAAGGATAGTATAGGTAACAGAAATGCACATTTATATGTATATAGTATAATTTTATTATATGTTATATAATTTTATAATATACAATTACATGTAATTTATATATAATAATAAGTATATATATTTTATACTATATAATGTAGTACATAATTTCTGGGAGAAAAGAGGGCACTAACAATTGGGAAAATAAGGAAAGGCCTCTTTAAGAAGGTAGAGCTTGAACTGACCCTTGAAGGGATTTAGAAATAAAGAGATAATATTTATAAAACACTTAACACAATGCCAGGCACATTCTCTTCCCCTTCCCCTAGAGACTTCAATTAGGAGTAGGAAGATGCATCAAAATAGTTTACACTGGGAAAGAAAAAGCAGAAAATCAAACCTCTCTTTCAGGTTGGTCTGTTCCCTAGGAACTGGGGAAAACATCAAGACAGGCTCTACTCCAAACAAGAAGCTACTATGTTCAGATCCGTAATCTGTCCTGAGCAGGGAAGAAAAGGCATTGACAAGAAAAGCCATTTTTTAAAAGGGAATAAAATCTTAAATATTATTTGAAATTACTCATCTCTGCTTTCACAAGGTCTTCCAGGTTCAAAGGATGAGTAAGCTTATGTTGAAAAAGAACTGCTTTATTTAGAACAATTTGCTAAATTGTGCATGCCCTCTGACCCAGAAATATGTCTGGTAGGCCTGTACTCCAAAGAGATTAAAAAAAAAAAAGAGGAACAGTACAAAAAGATTTATCACAGCTCTTTTTATAGTGGTTAAAAAAAAACCATACAAACTAAGAGGGTTCTCATCAATTAAGAAGAATAAGTTATAGTATAGGAATGTAATGGAATACTATTATGCCCTAAGAAATGATAAAAGGGACAATTTCAGAGAAACCTGGGAAAATTTATGTGATATATGGGAGAAATATCTCCTTTCTGAGTTCATGTGATAGGTAACTGCTACCAATTATATATTAACTACCATTTAGAAATTATAGAGGTAAAAACCTGGGTTTTATTGTTATGTTCAAGCATAAGTTCAGGCCTCAAAAATCCCAATTAGGACTCTCACAAGTTCTCTTATAGGCAAAATTATGTCAGAGTGACAGAGAAATAATTCTTTTATATATTGCAATCTTGTACATTCTTCTTAAGCCATAAATATTTCAGGGAAGATGGATCCATAATCCCATACTTCCTTCAATGTCATGAAAGTTAAAGAATCCTAAAATAGAGTCATAATCTCTTACATCTAAAGAAACAAAACTTTTCAAACTTTAAAAGTAAATTAAATCACATTACAGATTATTTTTAGAGGTTCACAAATAGGCTGATTGAGGAGGACCGATTTACATGTCACCAAGGAGTAAGGGACAGTTGAAATTCTTCCTCTGGCTTATTATCTAAGGAATGTTTAAAGTTCTAAGTAAATTTT